CTCTGGTCTCCTGATGTGTCTTCTTCTCTAACACGTCATCTGCTGTTTCCTCCCCTCCTATTATATTGTGTTGTCCAATTGCCACTCCCTAGTTTCTCCCCTTGTCAAGTATAGGCAGTAAAGTCTGTCCTTTCCTTCCTTCCTTCCTTCCTTCCTTCCTTCCTTCCTTCCTTCCTTCCTTCCTTCCTTCCTTTTCCATATGTGTGTCTGGAACCCCTTCAAAGTGCGGCACTATTTTATAGTGGACTTCCATCTTTGTTATCTAAGAATGCTAATGACTTTTGTGTTCCAGAAGTATTCTGGGAAATTGGGAATATGGAGATTCTCAGTCATCTAGGTCATAGCTGTCTCAAAGGTGCTTTTTCAAAAGGCAACTGGACTGTTTTTTTAATGTCTTCCTCAAAAGGAAAAACAGTCCAGTTGCCTTTTGAAAAAGCACCTTTGAGATATTCTGGTAAATAAAAATGTCAGACACTCAGAGGCCATCCCTTCTGAGTTGCTCCTTAGTACCGGGGGTTTTGCTTTAAAACTTTAGAACAAAAGAAGTAGAACTAGTAGGGTACTTGGCAAGGTCAGGAGAACTTTGTCTACTCTCCAATACACAAGATTGTTCCTTGTAGCTTTAAGTGTATCCCAGCTATAACAAAGGCCAAAGTCGGTTCTAGCTTTTCTTTCTATATTGCACTCACTTTGTGGATTTATTTGGCTTTGGGATCCACCAGTTATTTCTCAGACTGCTTTGTGAAAAGTGTGTGCGTGTGTGCGTGTGCGTGAGTGTGTGTGTGTGTGTGTGAGAGAGAGAGAGAGAGGGAGGGAGAGGGAGAGAGAGAATGTATTCAAACATTCCCCAACACTTATAAAATGACCTTCATTTCATTTTAATGTATTAAGTGACCCAGGTCTCCAATTTTTCTATGTTCACTTTTGCTTAGAAGGGCTTTGATTCCAAGAATCTGCGATTACTAGCACTCATCCTTGGAATGATTACACTTAATGAGAGTGGAAAGAACTATCAGCCTCCCCCTCGCCACTGCTGCCTCTACAATCGCTTGCCTACACATGTGGAATAATTACAGGGGGAGGTTGGAGAAAGCTTGGCACCTTCCGCCAACACCATCCCACTTCTCCTCTGCGGTGACTCATCCTGAAAGCTCTCACTGTGGCACTGATAGAAGTCTTATCACCTCTGCTAGTGATGTCTGAAAATCTGCCTCTGCAGCACAACCAAAGCCTCTGCTGTGAAGAAGTGCAAATTCCCTCTGCTGTGAAGAGGTGCAGACATTAACCACTTAAGTTGAGTTCTGCCTGTATGGAATTATAGCAGGAAAGCAAATGTATTCACAGCAAGGTTTTCTTTTAGCATAGAAAGAAAGTTATGAGATGCCGAAGAAGGCTGGAATAAGAGCAAATCATCCCCTGAAAACCATGCTTTCAAGTTTGGGGAAACACCCCCCCCCCCCATTCCTCCTTAATATTATTTTATTTATCTTGGCTGCGCACAGCTAGAATTTCTGATCATGGGCTTGCTGCAGATTAGCAAGTAAAATGTCATTCCAAATAGAAGAGCTGATTGCTTTATTATCCTTAAATCCGTAGAGGAGACAAGAAATTCTCCTTCACATGAACCCTAATTAAAATAATATTAAGGAGGAATGG